CACAAAAAAGATGTAAAGATGTCCAAACTAGAGAACACTACCTAAAAATCAATTAGAAGACTATCAAACTGCTTTCTTCATACAAATGCTAAAAAACCCCAGTATTTTTAGGTGATTTTCACAGTAGTAGTATCATCATAGGAAATCTTATCAAGATAACTGCTCCTGTCACTGGGCACAGTCCCCTTCTGACAAATACATGGCAGCTCTGACAGATCAGCATCCCTGGAGTCAGGCAGAAGAAAATGAGTCATGCCCAGGCTGCGTGGGCCCAGCTTTGCAGAACTGGGTAGGAGGTCCTCAGAAAAGCAGAGCTGTCTTCAGAAAGCTCACAGCTGAAAGGGCAACACAAAATCCTGCTGATGGAGAGACGACAGAGCTCCAGCATTCCAGGGAGCAACACTGGGGGTACTAAGGAAGGGTCTGCTACATACTACTACTCTAACACAAGAAAAAAATACCAGCTAAATAACCTGTCTAAATGCAAACACTCAGAATGAATCCTCAGAAGAGGTGAAGGAAAATCCTCACAGGACACCAGAAGGTGCAGAACACACTGGCAGAAGCACTGAAGAGTTACAATCAAAACACTGGAAGGCTGTAAGGCAAAAAAACTCAGCTAAGGGCAAAGGAAGTTACAAGTGCTTGCTGTCTTATCTCTGAGTGGGAGTCCAATGTCACTAAGCTACATAAAGGCCAGGATTTTTCCTGGTTAATTGTTTATTAATATTTGTTTCAAAACTGTCTACAAATCCAGCCACTCACAGCTTTTTTAACTGTATCTCACAGTTATGACAATGCAACTGCTGACTGAGCTATCAAAACACAGCTCTCTCCTGAATTTCTTCTATTCTTCATCACTAAAAATAAAAAAACATGCTAAGAAATTAAAAACTTAATTTAACTGAGAAACTCATTCTATTTCAAACACAAATGACAGCATTGAGATGCTACCAAAAAGTAAATAGTAGCTTGAAGTCAACACCCTTTAGAGACAGGACTTGAAATTAGTCCTCCCACCAGAAATAGTAAAAACAGATTACAAGGAGCTTTTTAGAGACAAACTGAAGAAATGGAATTGCAAAGAAAAACCAAAAAAAACCCCAAACCTGTAATGCTGAGTCTCCATAGCTAGAGAAATCTACTAGCAATTTACTAAGAAAGCAATGGAAATCTCATAGCTCTCAAACTTTTAGGACAAGTGCATGCCAAACTAGTCATGCAAAAGCATTTCACCATGCGCCCGAATTCACCATCCTCTTTGTATTAGCTCACCATACAATGAAGTCTCACACACAACCACCAAATTCCAAATGCATTATTCAAGCCCCAAAAAGGTCACTGATGGAGTTTCACAGCCACCTCAGTGATAAAACTCTATGAACACCTCTGTTCACACTAGGTGCCATCACAGGAAGCAGACCATCCTTGTTCCCCTCTCCTGACACCATGGTCCTCCCTCTCCTTTGCACTGGTGCTAGGCTTAAAGTTAGTTAGGAAACGGGCTGATAAAAACTCAGTTTTACCTCTTGCCTGTGGTTCTTGTCACATTCCTGCAGGCCAAAGCCACAGAAAGTGCTCATCACAACATCAGGGCAAGTCAGGTGATACAGAGCAGAGAGGGAGCATAAAACTCCTTCCCTCCCGCTGGGTTTCCAGCAGTGGGATGAGCATGACTACTCCTACCAGCTCTCTTCTGGTAACAATATTGCCTGCATGACCAGCTGGGGTCAATCCAGAGAAAAAAGCCCCACTTAAACAGCCACCCACACTAGAACAGCTTAAGCCAACTCTAGAGTTGCAGCTAAAAACACATTTTCCAGAAACCTTCACTTCTCAAATGCCAAAGCCTGATTAATTTGAAGAGCTCAGAGTGTTAATATGATGGCTAAGTTCCAGAATAGAAATGTAATTAAAAGAAAAATCTTTGAATTACTAAAAAAAAAACCAGGGTACATTACGTTGCCTATTATTGCTTCAATGCAGTGCTGTAGTTAAAACTGGTCTCAAATATTGTGAGACATAATTAGAGAGAAATTTATTAGCCAAATACAGGTGCAGGATCTCTGTCGCACCCAAAGGCAGCCAAGCTAATCCATGATCATGGATTAAATTTAAACATGAAAATAATCCAGAATTACAAAGCAACTTAAAATTGGGTGAATATAAAAATGTGGAAACCCAGTGCTATCTTCAAGCTTACAACAGAAAGTTCCTTAAAACCTTCTACCAAATTAAGTAGTGAACAAGCAGAGCTGGAGTGAATAGCAAACAGCCTCATGGTATTCCCTCCAAGGGAGACACAGTTCTGTTGGTCCAATTTTCATAATCATGACTAAATACCTTGCACAGTCAAGTCACACTACATATTCAGCTGTCACTTACTGTTAAAAAGGCAGGAAAGACAACACAGGAAAGACAACAGTAATGATAATCTATATACTCACTTAAGTAAATACCTGAATATCTAACAAAATATGGCAAAAATAGAATCATAAGCTCTCCCCTAGTCCTAAAACTCATCACCACACATCCCTTTTCTGTCAAACATCTAGATTATCTTTGCCAGCTTCCTCTCTAAGCCAATAAAAACCTCTGATACTGGGAACCTGTTTAACAATCTACGCAATTTGACTGTTATAGGTAAAAACTTTCCAGCCTATATTTAATCTAAATCACACCCACAAAAATTTACTTCCTCTTCACCTACACCCCAATTACAAGAAAGTTTAAAAAAAAACACAGAAAAAAAAGCTTTAAAAAACTTGCAGTGCTTCCGTGAACCATTTCTTACATATCCATACCACAACTTTTTCCACCACATAAAAATAATCCAATACTTTAATAAAATAAAAAAATTAATTCATAGGTTCTCAACCTCTCAAGCCACATGATTTAATACTCAAACCTAGACACAGAAGTGCAATCAAAAAGGAAAAAGAAAAAAAAAAGAAAAAAGAAAAAAACCTTCTGTACTTTAAACTCAATCAACACATCCAAGGATGGCATCTACTTTTGCCAGCTGCATGTTTCTCATTCGGACCAATTTGTGACTAGAAGTCCTGAATTATTTCCTACAGCTCTGCTTCCCAAGCATCTCTATCTAAGCATCCCATAGCCTCTTCCTAGTGCAGCATTTTATGTGCATCAACTTTTTATCTTCTGGATTGTACTTCTCAAACCAGTCAAAATTAGTGAATTAAAGAGTTTCTTCCGTGTTAATATTCTCTTCTAACTCGGCAGCATATTTCCAACTTTCACCTTTCAGGAAAATGATAGATAATATAACTAAAATCACCCCCTGAAAAAGCCATCTGTTTTTTTCCAAATGCTCAAGAGTTCTTCCAGCTTTGCAAAAAATAACTTAAAACTATTTGGGAGTTAGTTAGATAGGCAAACAACCTCCATGACAAATTGAATTATGTATTTATTAAGTGGACGAACACAGAACTATGCTGAAACCTCCTAAAATTTAAAACAGTTTGTAAGATGGCTTTCAAGCATATGTATTTTCCAGACGATATTGTCATGTAACACAATAAACCCACTTAGAGAATGTTAGATTTCTTAAATAATTGTATTTCTTCTTCACCAGAGTCATTACTAAATGGAAGAGAACACCACTGATAGGCATCTCAGTACCTTTACAGTCCATAAAACATTTAAAAAATTTGGTTTTTTCCATACAGACTGACACATTGAAATTGATTAAGCCCAAAATGTAGACAGCATCAGCAGTATTCACAGTAAGAACCGCTTAACACCACCTACAACCAGATCAATCACTATCAAAAAGCAGAAAGAGCTGTTCTGATACAGCACTTCCACAACGCCCCTGGGAGGTACAACTGCTGCTCCACAGACTGCGGATGTTCCAGCTTCCTTTGGCTCATCCTGCAAGCCAACAGTCTGGACAATTCACACTGCAGGAATGTCGCGTCCCCCGCTAGATCACGTAGCCTTGCATCTCTACCTTGGAGTTTTTTCATGACTACTGCTGAAGTTTCATTAATTCTAACTAAAATTCATGTCTTCAAGGTGTTGGGCAGAGAAGAAACCTAGGTGTGTGTCATCAGCTGAAGTTCAACACTTTCCGTTCAGGGTGTCAATAATATTCCAAACAACATCAGAAATTTTTCTCTGAGAAACGCACACTACTTTGATTCTGAAGGGATATGGGTTCTTCTTGTTTCGTCCACCTTCCAAGTTCTTCCTTTCAATTACAGAGCTTTTGGAAAAGCACATTATGAGACTGGACAAACTTCTAAATGTTTCCGAGAATTTCCTAACGTACAAATCCCATTTTGCTAAGTGAACTGTCTAGAGGCAGTAAAGCTTCCTCCTGGTCATTACGAGATAGATTCAGAATACGTATAAGCAATTCAGAGCCATCAAAGCCTGCCGAAATTATATTATTTCAAATGTTTCAGCAGAACCGCTGGTTTAATTGCAGGCATTCCCAACTGCCCTAAGTACGGTAATGTGACTTTTCTTTAAAGAATTAAGCGAAGGCTGGAATGCTTCCCCTTTCTCTGAGAACTAAACCCCCCTGGGGGCAGGGATGGCCACTCTGCCTTGCAGGAGCCGAGCAGCGACACAGCGGGACCGGCGCGCTGCCCGTGCCGGCTCCGGGCCGTGCGGGGTGCGGCGCCGGGGCGGGCGCGCTCGGCCGCGGCTGGCGGCGCCCCGGACACCGGCACGGGCGGCACCGCGGGAGCCGACACGGAAGCGGCGGCTCCGGATCTCAACAATATCGCTATTCAACAGGATCCTGCACACATCCTGCGGCGGGCTGCTTCCCGGGAAGGGCCGCGCCGGGCAGTACCGCAGTGCCGCCGCCGCCGCAGCCGGCCCCCCTGCAGACCGGCCCGGCGCCCTCTGCAGAGCCGCACCGCGCCCGGCCCCACGGCGGCGGGAGGCGGCTCGGAGGCGCCCGGGAGAGCGGCGTCCCACCCCTGTGCCGAGAGCCGCCCGCCGGCGGGACGCGCGGGGGCCGTTACCTGTCACCGGCTCCGCCGCAGAGCCGGCCGCGCCGCACCGTCCTCCCCGCCGGCCGCCGCCGCCGCCGTCCGCAGCCTCCAGCTCGCACCCCGCGCCCGCGGCGGCGGCGGGCAGGAGCAGCCCCAGCAGGAGCAGGCAGGTCGGCACCGGCCACACGCCGGGCGCTCGGAGCCCGCTCATCGGTACCGGCGCTGCCGCGGAGCGAAGGCAGGAACACAAGGACGGAAGGAGGGAACGCAGGGCTGGAGCTCCGCGCTGCGCCGCTGCCACTCCGGCGGCACCAACCCGCTCCGCTCCGCTCCGCTCCGCTCCGCGCCGGCCCCGCGCCGCCTCCCGCCGCTTCCGGCGGCCCCCGCGCCGCCGGGCGACACGTCACCGCGCGGTGACGTCACCGGGGAGGGGGCGGTAGCGGCGCGCGGCCCCGGTCCCGCTGCCCGGACAGCGCGGCCCGGACGGGACCGGACCGGAGAGGACGGGACAGGACAGAACAGGACAGAACAGAACAGAACAGGACCGGACCGGACCGGACCGGACCGGCGGCAGCCGCCCCAACCTGCATGGCCGGGCTCCGGGGCACTCCTGTCGGGGTGCGGGGTCCCGCCCGGCTCCCCGCCAGCCCGCGCCGGGACCCGCGGAGCGCCGGCACCCCCGCGCCGCCAGGCGTGTCCCGGAACCCCTCCGACCCAGACCGGCTGGGCCGGACCCGGGAAAGGCACAAGGTGAAAATAAGATGTTTTAGCTACAGGGCAAAACCTTGGACTTTGTTAAACTTGCCCTTATCGCACGGCCAGGGCACACGCCTGAGGAGAGCTGTCTGAAGTTCAGGTTCGGGTGTACTACAGCACTCTCAAAACATCCACAAAACGAGAAAAGGAGGAGTTTCAAATCTGATCTCACACAACTGAAGCCAGGAGAACTAAGTCTTCACAAAGATTCAACCGTGATTTCATTGTGCTTAAAATCTTTACCAAAAAAACCCACTTTTGCTGCTGATGTTTCCATCAAGCCACTGAATGGCAGTAAAGCCTGTGCTTTGTCCTATCCAAACCTGCAGGACTTTACAGCATTCCGTTTAGAGCCATTTAACGAGAATAACACAGCCTTTAAAGACCAAATTCAGTCTACTATCTTAGATACACAGTACGTGAGAAAAAAATGCAACACAGGTGCTAAAAGCTATATAAACATTACATTTTCTATTAACTATTGCAATTACCTAAGAAATAACAGAAGAGGGGTTGAAAGAGCCTTGAGAAAAGCCCTTGCCTGCTATGTAGACCTTGCAGGAGACAGGAGCACGAAATGGAGTTGTACAGGCTGCTTCTGTGGGTCAGCAAAATCTGGAAAGCTAAGTCTGAAATCATTACAGTACTATGAAATGCAGCAGGAAACAATTTCTCTACTAATATAGCTGGCATGCAAACTCCATCCCAGTTGAAACATATTTTTATGGGGAAAAAATACCAAAACTTAAAAGTAATCATATAGCATATAAAGATTTGGAAAATGTGTCTAAAGCTAATGAACTCTGATTGAATTGTGAAGTCTGTGCATGGCGTTACCATTTCTGCTGGTGAATACAACAGCTTTTAAAGACCAACAGTATCTGACCAGATCTTGTGCAAAGAGAACAATGAAAAGCCTGTATCTTAAGAAAGCTTGTTCAGTGTTGTTTAACTTTTGGGAGGGGAGCTGGAGCAGAGTAAATTTCCCAGATGGAAACAAAGAAACCAGCTGTTAATTTAATTAATTAGTTAATGTTATATTACAAAGAGAGAGGAATGCATAAAGGGCACATGAAAGAGGCAAGTTTCCTGAGCAAGTGTGAACTGTTTTAACTGAGAGTTAGTGAAGTCAAAAGACCCAGACTGCACAAGCACTGTAAAGAAAAGCCTATTCTGCATCAGAATAGCTGTGAGATGAGGACGCTCCAATAAAAACGATGTGGACCTAAAATAATAAATGATCCTTAATAAAAGTCCTCTTTCAGTATTGGTTCATTCTCACCTCCTGCTTGTAACTTCAAGTCCCCAAATCATCAAGCATGGAATGGATTGTTTTCAAGCAATGTCTGTGTTGTGGAGTTGAGGGGATGTCACTGCTGGTCAGGACACCATAGCAGATCTCACAGTGAGAAGCTTCTTAGCTGGAAATGCTTCACGATGCAGTGCCAGTTCATATCATGCTGGATCAGCTGCATGAGCTCAGAATCAAGGAAAGGCTGCAGCCTAACCCATTAATCCACAGAAACCTAAATAATTTTTGGTTTCAATATGGAGACCCTAATTCTAAGGAGTGCCCTGCAAGGCTTCGTCACAGAACCAGAGAAAAATGTATGACCCCTAGAGTTGCTCTAGTCTAACTCCCTTACTCAGCCCTGAGGAACATCACTCATAACCAGATGCCAGTTTCATTTCAGACTGGTCACCAATACTTTTTAAGTGGAGTGGTTCAGACTGCCATCCATCTCATCTACTTACCCAGTCCCTACTGGACTACAAAGATGCTGTGGATGTCACATCAAAAGACCCTTGCTGAAATCAGTGTGTGCTGCTCTTATCACTTCAGTCATAGAGCCAACTCTCTCATGACCAAAGGCAGCTTTGTTGGTGGAACTGTGCTGGTTTTCAGAAGTGACTCATCTCCTTTGTCATCCCAGAAATGGCTGCCAGAAACTTTTCCTTCATTATCTCCTCTGAGAGAGATACTTGGTAAGGATGACTGCTCTGCAGTTTCCTGCACCTTGCTTTGATGATGGATGTCACATTTGCTTTTTCCCAAAAACTGGAAATCCCATCTGATTGCCACAGCCTTTAGAAGGTGATAGGAAGCAGCACAATGAAGTTACTCACCTTCCTCGGCACCTTTGCAAGCAGCTCCTGTTCGGCTCTAAGGACTTGCAAACATGTAATTTGCTGAATTTGCTGGTCTCCTTCTCCAAACCTTGCCAAACTAGGCATAGGGCTCTGTGAACCCTAAGGGCTGACCTTGCTAGTAAAGAACAAGGGAAAGAGGGCTTTGAGCATCTCAGCCTTTTCACAGTTCTTTATCACTAGTGACCCGCCCCATCCATCAGCAGAGCTGTGTGGGTTTGGGGAATGCTTGCTATTTAGAATGCTTTCTCTACCTCTGGATGTAGACAGTTGTAATAGAAGGGCTGGAATTTGTTGTGAATGGAGAATGGATGGTAATTTCTGGGCATGGGGTTGCTGAATGAAGCACACAGCACCAAAAGAGTTCTTACCTCGGACTATGCTATTGGCATCCAAATTACCCAACCCAGCACATCTGTGTGCAGTTTTGCAAGACACTTCTCTTGTTCTGGAGAAGAAGAGCAATGAAGAAATCCTGATGACTTAAAGAGGTGAGACAGGATGGAGGCACTGATCCCTATCAGCTGCTAAAGGCTACAAAGAGGCATATCCAAAATCTCTGCCTGTTGCCAGCCAAGAGGAACCCAGACATGAGGAGAACCTCAGAGTTGGTGCCACTTCTGTCCTGTGTAACTGCCATGGATGCTGGACATGGGGCTCCGCAGCGTGGGACACCCTGAGAGTGGGAGCAAAAGTTACAGTAGCTTTGTTTCCAGGTCTGCTCCAAGTACAACCACCTACCCCGAAGAAGGTCTGGCACTAGCACACGCACATTGTTGACAGAATGTTGCAACAGCATTTCCCAAAAGTGCCTACGTTTATCTTTCTGCAGGGAGCAAACTGGTCTCAAAGCCTTAAGAGTTCAGCCATTTATGTTACTTTCTGTCACGAATCCTGATGAGTATTAATGGACTCCTACAGTCTTGGTCGAATTTTCTGAGTGTTCTTTGCTGTATGGATAACCTGAGAGGCTTTTATGTGAGTTCTGTCCTGCATCCTTCCATTGATCTTCAGAGCAGAAAGCTTTTTTTCCCTTTTATTAATGTGTATTAACTGCTTTGAGTTGCCTTTCCTGTTAGCAATTTTATCATTCACCTAGCCTTAATCACCACATTGATTTATCTGAACAGAAAAAGGGAGGAGAAATAATCTTCATAGTTGTTTGATGCCAATAGTTCTTTCCAATATATACATTCAGCCAGCCCTACAGTAACCCTGAAGCAGGTCTGAACAATAGAATAAAGGAAAAACAATATTTTTTTCTGCCCTTTAGTGCCATTTGCAGTCTCTCCAAACTAAAAGCTGTGAATGCTCTGGGTAGATGAGAAGACTGATGAGGAAAAATGAGCCAGACTAATAATAATAGATGAGAAAGAAACCTGGTGGGGAAACAGAAACAAAGCACGAACTTCGAAAAAATGTTATAAGGTCATCTTACAGGAAAGAAGGCTCAGAAATTAATACAATTTTTATTTTTGTTAAAAAACAATGCAAGTACAAAGTGGCAATAAGTTCAAATTCAGATAAGCAATTCAGATTATTTGTAAGTTGTCCAAGAAACATTTGATTCTATTAGTGCTGTGAAAAGAAACATTCATTTTTGAATAGACTTGAGATTAAAATTCAAATGTCTTCTCTTGATTAAAGAAGTTATTTATATTTATTTATAAATAGATATTTATATTTAGAAATATTTATGTAAAACTTTCTAGTTCTCAGATTTCATGTGCTGATAAAATATCAAATGAAGGTGGAATTTTGTAAGATATGTATTTGCCAGGATGAGAGGATCCATTTAGGAACCCCTTCTTAGTTGTTTCTGGATTACTGAAGCTTATGTTGTGGGGAGGGAAACTTGTTAGTTCAAGAGGAACCTATACAAAGTATTTGAAGTGGTCCTGTAGTTCCAGCTGTTAATGGACTAAGAAGGTATGGGTCAGAGTTGTTATCTCAGTTCAATAAGAAAATTGAACTCAGAGAATGGAGGTCAGTGAAACATCTTCCCTATCTGATGGGAGTAGGATAAGCCCTTAGGATCTTATCAGTGATCATGAGTCTAGATATCCCTCAAACGAGCAAATTCCCTGGTAATAGGCTAAAATGCTGCAAAAAATACAAAATCTCTTTCAATAAGAAAGAAGGAGCAGTCATTAAGGGCAAAACATGAGCTGCAGATCTGCAAAGAACTTTTTTATTACATTTCCTAGTTTGAGAATTTTTTTTTCAATCAGCATTGTCACAGGCATTGCAGAAGATTTTTTTCTTTAACACTTATGGAGTAAAGACAAATATAAAAGAAATCTTGGAACACACACACACAATGTTCAGCAAGTGTTCAT